GGTGTCCCGTTAGGGGAAAAAAAAAAGCAAACCCTAAATCAATAAATGGAAGCATGCCAGCCCTGCACGCGGAGGTGCCGTTGATCTGCAGCGATGTCGTGAAAAAAAAAAAAAAAAAAAAAAAAATCCCCCCCCCAACTTTTCCCCGGTGCGACGGCTTTTATACAGGCGGTACCCGTTTCCCAACGGGGAAACGCCGGTGCTGTGAAGCGCGGCCGGCGGAGGACCCGCGGGCGCGGAAGCCAGCGTGCCCGTGCTGTCCCTTCCCCTTGTCCCCCTGCCCACGGGCGCTGCTGCACGCGTTTGGAAGGGAGCAGATGTTTTAACAGCCTCCGTGTAGAGATTACCGAGTGCCATATGTTAAATACCACCCTCCCTCCGGGAGGGAAAAAAAAAAAGAAAAAAAGAAAAAAAAAAGAAAAAAAGAAAAAAAACTTTTCGCACTCGCTCCCCTTCTTTAGCTGAGCTGCTTCGCCCGTTTAAAAGCATAAAGGATTAAATCAAACGTACATGAAGGTACATGGTTCCCCCCCCCGGCGGTGCGCGCAGCCCCAGGCGGGCGCTCCCGCGGAGCAGCGCTGCGCGGAGCCGCCGCGGCCGCGGAGGAACCGCGCTCCCGGGACAACCGCCTTTCCCCCCTCCCCGTCCTGCTGTCCTGCTGTCCTGCTGTCCTGCTCCCAGCCCCACCGCAGCCGCCGGGGGGGGGCAATCCCGCGGTCACCGCTTATGCCCCGGGAGCCCTTCTCCATCAGGTCATCAGGTCTGGTGTCACGGCTCCTCGGCGTTAATCCCACGCTCAGTTATCATGAAATCGGTTATATGTAATGGTATTTTATTGGTGTTAGTCCGAGAGCGCTGCAAAACGAGGTGGCTCTTGGCTTTTTTTTTTTTTTAAATACATCCTTAATTCGCCATCACTCCGATTTCCTTCATTTCTTTTCATTGCAAGTCCCAGAGAACCATCTTGAAGATGCTTCAGGGGACAGTGTGGGATCAAGCTTTGCCTTTGAACCGCAGCCTCCTAGACGGGTTGTGTGTGCGCCCGGCGGCCGCAGGTTTTTTGTTTGTTTAAATGAAAGAAGTATTCCCTTGCAGTGCTTGAAACCTGAAGGCTGGAGTGTGAAACATGAGAATCTGAAAGTGAAACCGACTGGAAGCCAAAAAAGAAACAGATGAATGTGTTTCCACTGTCCAAGCTGAGGAAAGCCCCAAAAGCAAACAAACACCGTGAATAATAAAATGTGCAATAGATCTGAAATACAATTATTCCAGCCTCAGTCACTGGAAGCAGTTTATCTCGGTGGTTTCTTTCTTTTTTTTTTTTTTTTTGATATCTGAGTTTTAGCTGTTCACAGGTAAATTCCATGCTGTGCATTCAACAGGAACAACATGATAAAAATTATCTTTTCTTTCCTCTGGTTTCTGATTAAAGACTAGAAAAGGATTTGGTTACCACAGGAACAGCTGCACATTACCCATGTATTTTTCAAGGAGTTATTTTTAATTGTGCAGGTAATTTTCAACTCCAAATACCTGTGTAGTGGCAGCTTTATCAGTAACAGCCACCTTAAACAACATAATTACTGAGCAGGTGAAATATATCCTGTAATAAAACTATACTTGTCTTTAGAGGGTGATTGTATGCAGGCACAACAGTTACAGCATTAACTAATGAGCACTGTGTGATTGCTTAACATATTTTTGATTATTTACTCCTTTCTGTTTTATGCAAAGTTTCTTCTTTATCGTTTCTCATTCCTTAGCTTAAACTTCTTCAGAGCAGTAATTAGGAGCTGTGTTTGTGCAATGCCCAGTGCAAGGAGTGCACAACTCCACTCATAGATTTCTTTATTAGGCTAGATGGGAAGGGACTCAAAAAAGAGCTACAAGAATGATCATGTACCTGGGACTCAGGTTTTAGGCTGGAAGACTTTGTAAATTCATCACAATTAGCCTGAAGACACTCCCAGGTTTGACATGAAGGTAGTAAGCTAGAGAAATCTGGAGAAATTTAGGGAGATTTAGGATGGTGGAGGCAGTAATGGTACATTTAGGCTAGCAACAAAGTGAACTTTTCAACTGCAAGTTTAAACTTTCATATTTCATTTAGGGCTGTGTTTTTAAGGTGAGGTGGGGTTAAAGCCTAAAAAAGTATATCCTACCACAAATCACAGTCGCAGAGTTGAAGGAGGAGTTACAGCGTGGGGTTCTGTGACCACTGTTACACCCCAAAAAATCAGATACATAATCCCCATAATGCGTTCTGGCCTGGAAATGATTTGATCTGTGAACCTGTCCAGAACCCATAACCTGTGCTAACACAGGCACATGCAGAATTAGGGTGAGATCTTGCAGTTTTTCCTGCAGCAAAGGAGTTGAAACAGATGAGAAATTTCTGCTGGAGCTGAAAGTCTAGGATTGAGATTGTTCTTGCTAGACAGGAGACAGGGAAATTTTTGTGTTGCTTAACTGTCCTGGTGCCTTATCTTGCGGGGGTGCCAT